TACACTTGTAAATCGAACGGTCGACCACCATTTTTACGCAGGATAAGAAGTGTACCTCCGTGGACAGCAGAGTTTGTCGAAATTTTGCCAGCTGTCTCAGTGTCACGTGCGTGCGAAAGCCCGGGAGTATTTTAAGTAGCAAGTACGCGTAGAAAGTGGAAAGTGATTCACCGCAGCGAATTCAAATCGACGAGAATAACTGGTTCTGCACGTGTGAACAGCTCCTGGGACCAGTTCCGCCGAAATTTCCGTCGAAAGTGGCCCGTTTTTCCAAACTTTTCATTCATGAATCGTCGCGAAACCGTGGCGATGTTTTATGGCGGTAATGAAGCGCGTACCACGTGTGAAGCGACTCTATTATCAGCTGATTCTTGACGGCAGGAGCTGCTGCTACACGCGTCAGTCTTCGCAAGTACAACTACTCTGTGTGTTATCTAACATTTGTGCACTACTTCCGGTTACTTCGTTCCGCCCTCGACGAACGCGGTACGAAGATTGAAAGAAGCTTCGGGTATATCTTAATGCCAGTTTGAATACTTGGGAATACGATTTATCAGTGAAGAGTTTAGCAGAGACAACAAATTCCAAAAAAGCAAAATAAAAATAAAAAACAGGATGACTCGATAATGGACTATTTGGTCATTTAAAGTGTTACGAAGAAGATCGACGAAGATAGAGACGTACAGATTCGTTCAGGTGTGAGAATTAGTGAACTAGAAAGAGCGAAAGAGACGAATTCACTGTGTGAAACGCGAGAGATCGAGAGGCGATCTCCGAAGCAGACGTAGTAGCCGCTGAGAAAAATTGAACAATCGGTTCCGGGACCAGAAACCCGCGTGCCTATACGCGCGGACACTCGTCAAGCGTCTAAGCGTCTGCAGCCGGCGTGATTTCCAAGTTGTATGCCGTCCGAGCCACGAAACACCGAGAACTGTGTCTGGTTTTAACCGGATTTCTCACTCGACAACCCGTTCCCACTACCAACCACGTTTTAATCGAGATTCAATCCGCTCCTGCAACATAGGTGTCTCGGGAAACCTACTTTATCGGCTTCGAGACGGTAGACACCAGCTTTGCTCGTAGAAGCTCTTCGTGATCGACCATCGGTCGAGTTTCTACCCGAGATCCAAGTCATTTTTTTTTGCTTTTTCAATTGAAAAAAAAAATACAGAAAACAAATTCTTCGCGAGTTCAGTCGCTATTAGGAGATCACCGAACCTCAAAGCTATCTCAAAAACAGGCTTCGAGGAGACAGGATGCTACACCATCCCTACATTGCCAAGTCTCCAACGTCTAAGTTTACTCTTTTCATTCGGACCATTTCAGCGGAATAAATCGCTTTCAGGGAAGAGAAGACAGTTTACCTCATGTTGTAGGAGGCGACAGCTGTTACGAGGTCAGAAGCTGCCAACGCTGACAAGGATCCATCGAAATCAGCGGCAAGATGTTCTGCCAGCTCCTCCACTTGCGTCGACCATCCCTGTCCTGAGCCATTGTTCCCCGCAGATCCTGAAGACACGAAGAAACTTCGTTACACAGATTTTTCCTACGTTTCCTTTCATTCCTGTTAACGCTCTAAGAAAGTTGAACGAGAAATTGAATTTTGCGCGCAGATCAACACCCTGTTCCGTTGCTTCCACGCTACCTCGTACAACCTTGTGCGTTAGCATAATTGATGTAGAACTGATGGTGCATCGCGCCAATTCTCGACTTTGTATCCTGAAGAGCCATCACCGCGTTTCTTCGTCGACTATTCGAATTTATCGGAGGGTATCGTCGATTGTGTAGCAACGGCAGCCGGGAGCTGTCCACCTCACACCACTTCATTCTACCTTTCTTCGGAGGATAAAGGGAACGAGCACACCTGGATGGGAACGGCAGCGAAACAAAACGACTCGCATACACCTCCGCGTACAGCTTCGCTCCGGATGGAAAGCAAAGTATCCCGGCTTCTTCTCTCTCATTCCTCGGATCGACTTAATCTGCGAGACAATGTGCACTCGGGAGTTATCAGTTTCAGGGACCACGTGGTTAAAAAGGCGTCGAACAAACGTGCCACGGTGTCTTTTCGTGAATCAGTCTGATAGCGTTCACCGTAGCAGCGTCTCTTCCGTTTGCGAGCCCCGAGTTCACGAGAAGGCGAAGATTTTTCGAGGAAAGTTCAACGAGGACCTGGCATCTTCAGTTTCAAGTCTAACTTTACGGAGATATTTCTCAACAACGCTGGTAACTCTCAAGCTCTTGATAAGGGACTATTGTTTCGAGGAACGATTCGGTTATTTTTTCAAGTTTTCTCGGGTAGAAATGATCGATGATTCTTCGAACAGGTAGACGTTAGGAAGTACACGTGGGAATTGGTAATTTAATCGTAGTATTTTTGTAGAATAGTGATTCGATAAGACGAGCTACAAGCTTGAAATCTTCAGCGCCTACGACTGTGTATCTGGGGTCGTTTGTACACGACCTCTCGAGTGATATATCTGCATCCAGAGGCAGATGATAGTGGCGACAATGGTTTACTCAGAGACGTAAATATTCATGAAAAAGAGGAGGGAAGGAAAAATGGGGAAAGTAATATGAGAAAAGTTTCTTCGTGCTGTATCTCGTTGATTTTTCAAGGAAAAAGTTCTACCGTTTCTACAAAAATTCTATCATTTCCTATAGGAATAGAAGCAAACTTCCTGATCGATTATCTCGAATAGAGATCATCCGGTGAACTTTAACCCGTTCTGTTTTAAAATACCTATCGATAAAACGCAGTCTAATATATTGGAACGTAACAAATATACTAACCATCTCTCCTAGCATGCTTCTTCTCGAGCTCTGTGATCTGCGCCAACGGCTCTCCGGCTCGACGTTTCAGGCTGCTCTGCTGGCAATTAGGCGAATTGTCCGACGAGGGGCTGAGGTGTTGAGGTGACTCGCTACTGGAACGAATCTGGACACTGTCCTCCGGAGAATCCTTCGGTGAGTTGTACTTGTCCTGCCATAAAGAATTTTGCGGACTGTGATATCCCATTGACGCCTACAAAACGTTTGGTCACCGTCAGTTCACGGGACGAATCGCGCAGAGCTTCACGGATTCCGCTCGAATCGGCTTGCGACATACCACTGAGTGCTAATTTGGAAAAATCTTGCAGGAATATCGGACTCTCGTGCCACGGAGACGACGATAATGTCAGCGTAAAAGAAAAAGATAGGAGGCGACGATACTTCATAGGAAAAGTAAGGAAAGACTAGCGTCGTGAAGCGTCGCGTTCAACGCGTACCAACGAGATGATACCATTATCGCGAGGAGAAAAGGAAGATCGTTTGAACTTACGTGCTGAGTGGCGATGGCGTCACATCTGTTCTGACGAACCGGAGACAGTTGCTCGTACGGCGGCGACGGTGTATTGGGAAACCATATCGTCCCGTTCAAGGCGTCCGCACCACTGTCCATGATGAATTGGAGCTCCATTCAACAACCCTAAATCTATCGAAGCACTCGTACTAACAGAGGTACTACTACCACTACCTTCAGGAACTATCGACTGTTTTGATCTCTAATCACGATTCTATATTAGCCCTTACTGCTCGAGTGCCCGAAGATTCTTTGGAGAACGCTTTGGTAGTCTTGATCGTAAGAGAAGGCGATAAGTCCGAACTATTTAAAACATCGACGATCGTCGACGATGAAATTTCAGGACTTCTCTTTTAGACTTTCGAAACTCTGTCGAACATCTTTCAGTTGATCATTTTCCCAATTTCCTTTCCTTTATTGTGCTCCCTTTTTTCCGTTTTTCTTTTTTCTTTTTGTAGATTCAATTCCCTCCTTTCACTCGATAGATCTTTCTCTTCGACTGGTTCGTTAGTCTAACACCAAAACGTCCTCCTTTTTTGTGCGTCCTCCGAGTATTTTTCTGCAGGATCAACGAAGATCCCCGGAGTGCACGGTGCATCACTCGACCACAGGTCAATCAAGGGCCGATTATCCTCAAGGGAGAGTTATCCTTAGAACATCACGAAGAAGCTGTTGTACAATTTCTTGATGCCAGTTGTTTCGCGTTGCCGGTGCGTTTCCAAGAGTGCGCAACCCCGCGACTTGAGGGACAAAAAACGCGAAAAGACGACAAACGCGTCTTCGAATACCATCGCCACACCTTGGCTGCAACGCATTTTGTTACTATTTTCCTTCCGAATCTTTAAGCTTCGCGAAAGGGCAACGATCCGTTCTCCTCTTTCTCTTTCTTATCTAGGAGACTCTGTGTGTATCCGGCCGAATAATCTTCCAGAAAAATGTCCGACAAAAATGAAATCTGTAAGTTGGAAACTTTGCACTAACTTTGGCCACGATCGAGGAAAACTTTGAATCAGGAGTGTATCTTTTTTTTCTCTAAAGGGGCAAAACTTTCTCTCGCTTATCCTCGATAAAATTCGTGTTCGTTTCTAATATAGTTAGGATAAAAACCGGTTGTTGCTCTCGTAGAGTGTCACTAGACACGCAAAAATGATTATTCTCGATTGCTTTCTAACGACTATGGCTCACACCACTTGATAGTGTCTTGGAAATCGAAGGCCTTCGCCTATCACGTCGTCACCACATTTTCAGGATCCTTCGTTCCATGGTGCCGACGGAAAGATAAACTTGATCCAGGAGAAGAGAACGAGGCTTCGTGCCGTAAGACCAAATAGATCACAGTGTTTCCTTTTCTTGACGTTTCTCAAACTTGTTTACACGCGAGGAAAGATGAATCCTCGGTAGAAGTCGACCAGAAGTAATTCCTCTTGGCAGGATGCTGTGAACGCGTAAACTCTCTGAGACCCGTCCTCTCAGGGTCTTCTCCCTTCGAAAGTAGCTCCTTCTAACGTCTTCTAGCTCCTTAAATCGAAGGATCAAGATCTTTCAAAGAGCAACAGCCAGTAAATCTGAGCCATTCAATTGGCGATAACGAGACTTCGGATCTTGCTTCTGAGCGCGAGATGAAAATTCGACGATCGGCCCTCCTCCTTCGACGATAGATACAGAAAAATATCCTTTCTATATACGACGCTCCTCTGCGCGAGTAGATCTTCCTTTTCGAAACCAACTGCGGGGGAGTAGGAACGCTTCCTTCGTATTAGTCTGCTTGATTATCTTTAGGATCTCGCCGCTAGCGTTGACCGACTTAAACTGCCTGAGACAAACCGGACAGGCGGATATCTCTTTGGATTCTGTGTACCCCTTTTGCGAACGACGACGGACAGCAAATTACGCGACACTGACGACGTTAAAAGTTTTGAACCGAATGCTCCGGCGATGCCTTCTGTCTAAGAACGATCTGGGTATCTGATCCAATCGCGACCGCCGGTATTAAAAGGCTGACCAATAGTGTCTACGCTGGAGGGTCGACCCGACCGTCAATTGGAACCACTCAGTGCTGATGAGCAAAATGTGACTCGGTTTACCTCGTAAAATCGTTCCGTATTTGGTCACGTACTGAATTCGAATTTCGATTAATACCTGACCTGTTGGTCTTTTTCGAAAAAAGGCAAAGAGAGAAGAAAGGACAAGATGAAAAATCGACGGAATATTTCCAACTTTTTCCGTTGTCCACACAGTCTTCGCTACGTTTCGCCGCGTTGAATGATATCTGAGAAGACGATGACGACGACGACGTTTACGTCGACTTGACGAGCAGTCGCGTCGTAAATGCTCCTTGTTTGCCACGTGGATTAATTAACTCGCGAAACGTTATCTCTCTGACTTCTCGTGGCTTGTGTTTTCTTTGCGAAAGCTTCTTATCGAAGAAGCGGAAACGGACAGATTATTCTCGTGGAAGCTTCTCCTTTTTTCGGATTCACCACGGGGAGTAGTGGACACGAGAAACAAACGTGAAAAAGAGAGGATATCGATGCGTTTCCGGGTGACGTTATTGAAGCCACGTGCCCAGTCAGTTCGACGAAGGACGCGAAACAACTGTTAGTCGTTACTCTAGTGCTTCTTCGAGCCACGTAAAAGTGGCGTGTTTGAACAGAGATTCAGACGATAGAACTTCCACAGGCTGCACTCTTTCTCTTTCTCTTTACGACAGCAATCCTTAAACCTCGAGGTTGACGTTGGTAAATGCCGCTAACTTTCGTCCCAGAAAATTCGACGAATTTAAATTAATAAAGTTGCTGCGGAACCTGAAACAACAAAAGTAATACACGTCCACGGGGAACAGGTGTTAATCGCGACTCTATGTACGATGAAACACGCTTAAACACACAGAACCCATTTATTTCTAGTAAATCACCTTCATTTACAGACATAGCAACAATGTGTCTCTGTTATCTCGAAAGATCAACGAATCTCTTTGGTCGTAATTTTATCAACTACACATGTACGTTTCCTTCTCTTTCGTTTCCCCGGGGGAGAAAAGAGCACAGAGCGCGATCAAGTCACATCGAAGCAGATCTCGTACTTCTCCACGACTGGCAAACGAATCGTCCGCGCTTCCTAATTCTCTTGCTACCTAACGACTACGTTTTACTCCTAAGCGTGTTCCACCGCGTCTTTGCACGTACATCCGTTCAGGCAAAGCTGTCCACAGCCCAACGGGGTTAGACGTCTGAAGTTTCGCTGATTGAAGTTAATCCGCGAGGTCATTGTTATACGCGCTACTCGCTTCCACACAAATTAAACCGTCCGTGTCTTGTGCAGAAATGTCTCGTACGGACAAGACACGCTTAGGCACGCGGTCACGTTCGTGTGGAACGCACGAGTGCGGAAAGGAACTCCGTAGGAAGGCGCACGGGCGACGATGTTTCGAGCGGTTCCTTAGAGAGAGCAACGACCATACTCCCGACGAATTACTTCGCGACCTTGCCTCTTGCCACTTCGTTCCCCCGACGAACGAGGTTATACGTTGCCTAGACACAACTATTCGCTTTATGCGACACTTTTGGCCAGGGGTGATCGACACGCGTCGATGATCAATTATTTCACCCCCGACCTCGTACATTCGATTAGGATGCCGGCAACCTTTGATTTAGGCGAACGATCGAGGAAACTCTACGACGATCGACGTTTCTTCTTCTTTTTTCCTTTCCTCTGACGTAATCCTTCAAAAAGCCGCCTTAATTAACGAACCATTAAATTTGTCAAGTGAACGACCTTTCCACCTCGATGGATTAAACTCGAAGTGTATCCCTTTTTTTTTCGTTTCTTTTTCTCTTTTGGTTACGTTCTAATTGGGTTTAATTCGACGGGTACCGGGGCGAAGTGATTATTTTCACGATTCTTCGGCTAGGAACATTGTGTAATAGCGAACGCAAGTGTTCACTCGTGGTATAGACGAAGAAGTAGCAACAGTACACGGGTAGACATCTCTGTTCCTGCAAATTATACCAAGGCACCAAGGCTGTTCGTATATCTGCCTGGTAATGGACAGAACGCACGTTCAAACCACGTGTAAGATCTTCCGCAACGAGTGCTTTCGATTGAAATTATAAACCGGTTGCCACATTGGTGTTAGAACAACGGCTACTCGACCAACATATTTCGAGATAAAGTCGGCAAAAGGAAAAGAAGAAGAAACAAAAAGAATTCACTATCGCGTCTGTTGAACTGCACGGAAAGGTATACGGGATCTGTAGGGAATTACTTTTTAATATAAAAAAAAATACGAAATATGTACAATTTTGTTTTCTTATACTAAGAACGATCTTCGTACGATTCTACGAAGCGTTTGACGGTAGAAAATTACCATCAATTGTTGTGAATAAATCGTGTGAGTCAATCTATATTTCTGCTCTCGATCTCACGCAACACTTGTCGACATTCTTGCTCCAGAACACCGCTCCAAACTTGATACCGATGATTCAATCCTGGCACAGCGTGCAAGATCGTTCTGGACCCTAGTACACCGGTGTTTTCGTTAGGTACACCGTAAAATATCCTGGAAACTCTCGAGTGCAAAAGTGCCATAGCGCACAGGGGACACGGTTCCTTCGACGAAAATGCCCAATATCCTGTGCACAAATAGGGACCACATTTGTCCGTCTGTTCGCACATCTTCGTCGATCCATCCTTGTTTCGTCCTTTTCGAGCAACGGTAGGTACAAGAGGTTCTTCCTTCGGAAGATTAATTTTCGACAGAGATTTTGGGTAATAAAGCGGAGCCTCTTCGACGTACTTCCTTTTGACTGTACCCTCCCCCGTTGCGTAGTCTTCTATCTCCCGTTTACCACTAGAATCAGATTCTACGGTATTTCCATCCAGTTTCCACGCACCGCCACCTTGAAGTTTCGCAACAAGATCGACTGCGAGCGTAGCTGCGTGCCACATCGGATGCTGATCGATTCTCGAGGCGGCAACCGCGAGGATTCGTCCATCCTCAGGATCGACGATCACCGCTGACCCGTTGCAATTGGAATCACCGACAGCTTCTAATCTTGCCGCATCCACCGCCACTCTCATATACCTCCCTATCGTGTCTAATTGGTGTTCAGTGAAAACTGATCCATCGATCAGACGTTCGATACTGGGATCCGGATGAAAGTTCACGGGCCAAATCTTCGAGGATCGTGCCGCTTGAACTTTCGTTCTCGCTGCTCTTGACGGTACCCTTAAAATTTGAAAATTCTCTTCCAACAGGGACAAGTTAAATCCTCTCTCGTTCAACACCTCTTTCAGTCTCTCTTCGGTTAAAGTGTATTCTACAGACGAGTCTTCTTTCGCCAATTCTCGAGTGTTTACCGGTGTCAGTAGTAGCTTGTTCGAGGAGCAACGCTTGAGATGACGGAAACCAGGTAGAACAGCTGATATACTTTTAATAGCACGCGAGATGTCCTTCTTCTGTTTAAGCAGACCCACGTAGACATCCTCTAAAGTTGGATCGTCGGTGAATTCCGAGCTTAAGATCGGTCTGGCTATCCAACTTCTATCCGCGTTCTCCACTTTGCTCTCCTTGACGTTCTTGGGCGAGGTGACCGCCATCCCCTGAAAAGACGTTGCCTTCACTTTTTCGTTGAAACATCTTCGTGGGCATTGTTCCTATCCTCGGTTGTCTTTTAACAAATCGCCAGATCTACGTTCTCCGATTGTACGTTTACACGAGGGAGGGTGGTAGGTATGAGAAAAAGAGGCGGAAGAACGTCCAGGAGGGACGCGTTTCGTGGGAGAATGGTGGTTGGTGGCGGCGGTGCTGCACTTGGTACGGCTCGCAGGAGGAGAAGCGATTTTAAATTGCTGTCAAGTTGGGCCACGGTCGGATCGATTGCCGGAGTTAGGCGCAATTGTACGACGTCGAACTGCCAACGCAAGAAATAGGGTCTTCGCTGTCGGCTCGTGCCGATCCTGCGACCATCGCTTTCCAATTGAAATCTGAAAACGCGTCGATGGGTTTACGGCAACCGCGATGAAATCTCGCCATAATTTCCCTGACTTCGTGGACAGTCCAGCTGTTGGCACGATTCTTGGCATGGGCGTTCGTGTGACCCACAAAACCAGATATACGTAGAGAATTCCGTACACAAGGTGTTTCTGAATTGTAGGTAGAAACTTTTCAGGCGGTTAATAGAAAGAAGCGATTGAAAGAAATGAGAAAGCCTCGATAATACACCGATTTATCGCGGTCTGTGTTAATTGAAACGTATCGTCATTTCTAATTCGTCGATTAAATTTGTATCTATCGGGAAATGAAACGAGATATTAAATTGTGAGAGGGGACGACGAAAATTGGAAAAAATATTTGTAAACGGCGTGTACGTCGTATCTGGTTATTATCAGGAAAACGAGATATCGTGTAAAGTAGGTCTTCGTAAGACTAAAACGATACAACTTTATAGAAGACCCTTGGAGAAATGATTTTCTTCTTATGTAACGCAAGTTATGTGGAATTTTGAAGGAATTAATTAGAAATAATACGTGGCGTATGGAGATTGGTTAGCATCGAAAACGTGATTCGGCAGTGCTGCATGGGAAGTCGCATCTTAAAGCGTATTAACCGGCTAGCGGGAGGAAAATATGCCATGGTCGGATGTTCTGTGAATGGATAAATGAGTGGACAGGACAGATTAAATTATAAAACGTTCATAGCGTAATAGCGTGCCGCGAATACGAGGTTATTGTTAAAGATGGTCATTAGGCGAACGTTAATTTTATTATGCATCGCGGTGAAAGAGAACGACGATCCAGAGAACGTTATTTAAACACGTCGAAAGATGAATATATATACATGCAAATCTATAATTTATAGAGGCAGACGTTGCGTAAAACTTTGATTTCGTTCGTTATCAAGCCATTGTCTAAGAAATTTTGCTCGAACCAACGAGTAAAAAAGCGTAAAGAACGATCGAGCAAGCATGAGAAATGTTTATTTGTAAGTAGAAGCAGTCTAAACGTTGCATTAAATCACGCGTTCGTTTCGAGGCGGCGACCAAAGGTAGTCAAATTTCGCGCCTCGTTACGTCAACCAAGATGGTGGTGGCACATTCGTGCAAAGCGTGTTCCTTATATAACAGAAAAGGAACAACAAACGAGTTCGAGTGACGCAGCACGGGTAAACGTAAACTTGTCGGGCGAATGCACTCTACGAACGAGACACTCGTTAGAATCGTTGTAAATTCCGAGATAAATTCGTATCGATCGTAATCGCAGAATTCTCATCGATCACAGGGCGGTCCATTTTTCAATGGTTCCTGTTCACGTGCCAATATGTCTTCCCTGGCCTTGAATTGAGACATGACACGCGTGTCCCGCAGCTTGTCAAACAAAACAAACCGACTGGATCGTGGAATACGTGCCGTGTCAAGAGGAAAGTGGCACAGTCGTGACACAGCGGGCACACGTGTACGTTCTAATCGCGAGCAACGTAGAAAACGATGAAAATTTCTTACCTGCTGCTGTGTGAGCGCACGTTCCAACGCTTGCTTTCCTTCTGCTTCTTTCACGTGACGATTAACCAACGGATCCTTGTCAACCACACCTTGCACACCTTTCGATATTTAGCACACTAACCACACCACACAAATACCACGGAACACACGTGAAGATACCCGCGAAGATGGACGTTTACAGGAGGTCGACTTATACCTTTCGTGATTACGAGTTATCGGCGCTACTGTCGCGCACTCTGTTGGCCGTCGAAGCAATCACTGGCGACTGGAGGAAGGGAAGCACGTTCACGGCACGCTCCTGCATTTATTTCCTTTTTCCCTCGAGAATACTTTTTCATCCCGTTGACGAAATATCGCACGGATAACCTGATATCACCGTGAACGCTGAGAATCGATGGTTTTACACGATCCTGCCAACAATTCCGATGCTTTCTGTTAGAAAATGTAAGTAGCTTACTACGATGTTTCGTGTTTCCATTGTGTGTGTACATTGTCAAGGCCAAAGACCGCGTTTTCGAACTTTGTTTTCGTTCGCGTAGCGCGATGTAAACATCGCGTACGATGTAGTAGACCAGTTTAGAGGTGATCGTTGTATCGTTCAGTTAAAATATTCCATTCGGCTGCGTGGTACTGGCGCGAGCAGAACGTTCCGCGTCGTGCTGAAAGTTGGCGCGAAAACTTGCACCATGGCGTCTCTTCATTTGTCAACGTTCGCACACGATGCGAATCCAACCTCAGTTTCACATCGCGACCTCTCCAATTTTCACACTCTTCGAATTTTTGTAAGTACTTTGCTTCAACGATTGGACGATACGTCTAACCCTCGTTAACGATCGTGTACACGTTCCGATCGATGCTTCCACGTCGCGGCGAAACTTTTATACTCTTATTAGCTGTTGTTACGATTATTCAACGAGGGGAAGATGCATCTTCGTACCGAACGATACACGTACGCGAGTTAGAGGGAATCACGCTGCGACGAGGTCATTGCTGTATATATTATGATGTATTCGTGATAACGCTCGTGAGAACGAAAGTCGTTTGCCTTGGGTCGTACACACGAAAGTAAGGGAAAAGGAGGAAAATCGGGACTAGGGGATTTTAGTATTAAGTGAATCGTTACGTAATCACGTGATTTATAGCTCGAAACGATATACATGTAGGAAAGCAATCCACGACTCGTTGAAATTAATCGTTGCGATTTATGTAACAAATTGAATCGTCGATGTTCGATTAACGAATAGATTATTCACGTGAAATTCGCGTAAGTCTCGAAATATTTCAAATACGTTATCGCCGCTTCGTACAGATACTCGATGTGTTCCTGCAAACATATTACCCTACGTTGTTACACGTACGACACGTTTGAAAAATATACGTCACCGATAATTTTCAAAAAGAGAACTACCAACGAGCTGACGAAATCAGGCCTGGATCTTCGAATCGCTCGAATCGCCAGGCAAACGTCGCATTCCTTTTCCACGCTTATTCTCTCCAAAAGAAAACTTAAGGCCAGGTAAAGTCCACAGCCGGTCACGCCGTCGCTAATTGGAAAGGGACACTTTAGCGTATCTCGCAACAACCGTGCGGTCTATATATGTATAAAGATATTTCTGAAAATTCGGCGCCGTTCTTACTGGCAGAGAACAACGGTTGGCCCATCCCCTCTAGAAATTCTCTCCGCGGCTTGCCACAGTGTCACCAATGACATTGTCTCCGGTGGTTCCTCGTTTCTCCCAGCCTTCCATTCCGTCGAGCATAATATCGTTACCTGTTGTTCGGTAACCGGTTTCTAAAATCGAACAGAAACTTTTCAATATCCGTACTTTTTGCGACGAAATTTTGCTATTTACCTCCAGTTTGTCCACGAGTATCAACCTCTGCGACGAGTAGTGTGCAAATTCAGCGAATTCTTTCGATCGAACGTTTATGTACGGTACCGGTTTGAATTCTTCGCTTGGAACAATCGGACAACAGGTCTGGAAGAAACTTGGTTTAGTCGTTTCAACGAGAAAATATATATATTTTTTTTCGCGAGGTGATAAGATACCGCGTCTTTCGGGTCCGGCGGTTGTAACATGATGATCAATTCGATTTTATACTCGGCCACCATTCTCCAGAAATCGGTAAAGGTTCCTGGCAGTGGTAGTTGCGCCGCCAGGTACTGATTCTGCAATCGTACACCGTCCACGTAAACAGCGGATATGTAATCGCTGTCCTCATCTGTCGACGGATATCTCTTTAAATACACTCTGCTAACTTTCGCTGCGGGGGAAACCTTGTGTTATTGAGATCGTCAGGCGTCAGATCAGCGATAATAAGATGCAACCAGACTCTTTCCAACCTGAGACCAATTCGGGAAATCGATTTTTAGCAAGATTACGTTCCGATAGCGCTGCTTGACTGGCAGGTGGACGAAGGGCCTCATCTTGCCAGGTCATCTTCTCTAAACTTTTACAGCCAATTTTTTTTTTTTTTACGAATTTTTCAACGATCTTCTTAGCACTTTAAACTTCGAACTAAAAATGTTTTTCCCCCCCATAAAAAATACTACCTATCTCGTTGTATCGTCAGCTGTGTTTTAAGCTCTTTAATCCTGCTCGGTAGAACTTCGTTGCACACTAGGGTGGTAGGAAAAGCGAGTAAACACTCGACGAGCGTTAAATGAGCTAGCAAATACTGCTGATTGTTGTCCACCATGTTGGCTCGTTGACTCCTGATGGCCTCCGTTTCCGCGAACACGTCAACCACCTGAAAATATGAAAAAAAAATATTGCACCTCTTTCGAAAGGGGTGTGAGAATATTTTTGAAAAATATTTTACCCCTTCTGCGGTCGCACGCCGAAGGCAAATGTCGCACAAAATTATTGTTCCAGTTCTCCCGACGCCTGCGCTACAGTGGACCACAACTGGTCCATTTCCGGGTGACGTTGCCAACAGCTTCTTTAAATACGTTACCACAGAATGCGTGGACATAGGCACGCCATGATCTGGCCATGCTGTGTAATGCAAATGCTCGATCTAATTTTTTCGAAGATCGTTTCAAAAAAAAAAAAAAAAAGTAAAATCGGTTCTGTTTACATCGGGCAATTTGTCACATTGTTTGCTACCTTACGAGCTTCGTCTTCATACGTCACGTGTAAAGTACGAAAAGTGAAATCTGCGAATACCGTGTGTTTTGCGTTGAAAACAATTATATCGCCGTACTTTTTCTTCTTTCCAATGTCAGGCCAATACTGTTCACATTTCACCTGTTCAACGTCGATAAGTATGTAGATATGGATAGTTTTCTTTTTTTTTTTTTTTTTTCAATTTTACGGTGAATTTTACCTTTCCTCCTTCCACTAAATTCGCAAGCATGCAAATGATGTAGCATTCTTCTTGCCAGACCATCCTCCAGAAATCGATCACCGTGTTCGCTTTAGGTCCTTGCGTGGCTATGTAGCAGTCCTCTTTTTTGTAACCCTTTTATAAAAATTCCATATTTATCGTTGCATTTCTCGTTCAGAGAGCATTTCCTTTCTAGACTAATATTGGTTACCTTGATGTAATTAGCGTTTATGTAATCGGAGTAAGGATCGTCGGGAAGCTTCTCTAATGTCACGCGATTCTCGTCGTCTACGAAACACGAGTATATCGATTATTGTCTTTTCCTTGAAATATCCTAAAATTATACCATTTATACACGTACATGCTATAAGATTTGCATAACGATTTTTTGGTTTGTTCTGCGGCAACTTCCCGTAGTCCCATGGTTTCGTTTGTCCTCTTGGCAACGTCTTTCCAGAAAATTCGATCGTGAAATATTCTAGTAAAGAAAGGAAAAGGAACAGCGTGAAAAAAACTTACGCTGTACTGTTTGTGCAGCATTCCAGTATCGATCGCCTGCTTCACATAGTCCTCGAAATCCTTCACTTTAACCGGAGACATTCGTTCCCCTCTCTGACTAATATCGTTCACGTATACCGTGCCGTTTTCGTAAGGTGTACTCGCGCGTGATAAAAACTCTTTATCGGACGAAGTAGGTGTGGTGCTGCAAACGTATTTCGTACTGAACCCGATCGATTCTACCTCAGGATTTTCGTTGGTATACGTCACAACCACTTCCTGCTGCGAGATCGCCTGTTTACTCCTGTGGGCGATGCAACAGGTGTCCAAATTATTTCTCTTCGCGTGTGACAGACACTTTTCTTCTGTTTTCTTTCTTTTAAATTACCACTTATTCCAACGAGAGAAAAGGATCGAGAGAATTTCTCCAAAGTAGAAAAGATGTTTACATTGGACGAGCGAACACCCACCTTCTGTAAAAGTAAAAAGTCCCAGCTCCAACGATGGCGAATATCGTGGGAAGTGTAAGCCAAGCCTCGTGGTGTCGCTTCGGCGGCTCATCGACACGAATCGATGCTGTTTTCGCGACTATAACACGACCGTCTATCGATCTCTTTTCGGTTTGCACAATAACCACTATTGCGTAGGACTCTGCTGGCCGCAGCGGGCAATTGGTGGCATAACCGCGTACCCTGTTATCGCCTATTGTGATCGTTTTACCAGCGTACTCGTCGGTCTGTCGCGAAGGAGAAAGTTGGTAGCACGTGAAAAGGACGTTTAACGTGATTTTCTTCGGGTGATTTATCCTTAGGGAGGACGACGGGAGGAGCAGGAAAGCGAGATAAAGAAAAATTCACGATACTCACGGGAAACGTGGCGACTTTCCACGCGATCTCGTGATCCTCGATGCCTGCTTTCTCGAGCAGATACGGGATCAATTTCTCGCGATTCGTGCAAACCTGCGGTCCTTTTACGACCACGTTCATCAGGCTGTCTTTCGTGTCGTTTAAAACGGCTGGAACGTGCAACAGAATCGTCGAATCTTCCCTCTGGACTTCTGCTATCAGTTCCTTCTCGAATCCTATGGCCGGAGGTGTCTTCACCTCTACGATCTTTCTCTCCCCGTACGTTTCCGTATTTGTCATTCCTCGTATGGAGATTTTGTATGTAGACGACGACAATAGATGCAACGTCTCGTTGTACTCTGATCGATATTCCTTAACGTGGTATACGTAAATCGTGCCTCTTCGAGATCGAGGAATTTCCATTTTCAGGCGAGACGAAATCATTTCTGCGCTTATCACAAATTTATCAAGATGGCCACCTGTCTTCCAAGGATGGGACCAGCTCAAGTTCACCAGCCCTTTGTCGCGAGCCTCCGCGGCGAACATTTCTGGCGCGTCCAGCTTTAGTTTTTCGCTGATTATCGACACGGATGACAGTGTGCCGGGTGTCGAGACGTTCACGTTCACGGCTGCGACCTGAAACAACGGGTTCGTTATCGTAGATTAACCACGGATTCTACACGGCTTTCAGCAGTACCGTGATTAATTCAGTTCGTTCATCCGCGGATTTTACAGTCGCGCAGATGTATTTGTTCCACAGTTTGCAGTACTCCGTTGGTTGTATCTTGGACGTTATTTCACAGTTACGATAACGATTCGTCACCAGATAATACTCGATCTCCCCGTTGATAGGTGGTTCTGGTTTTAGCCATCTTAGATACACGCTCGTAGTTTCTGAATCGAGTTCGTAAATTTCGAGATTCCTCACGGGAGGTGGAGCTGTTTTAAACAAATCGCGAATTAACACGTCGATACCATTTGAAACTCTCTTTTTCACGAAAGTTGTCGTAACAATCGAACCTTTCGGAGGAGTGGTGAACACGAGCTTCTTAAAAACCAATTCGTTCTGTTGTTTATCGTAGCTTCTGACAGCGTAAACTCGTGCTTCGTATGTTTCAGCTCCGTACAACAATTCGCTCACGTTCAAAGAGTATTCTTCCGTTAGTCGAACGATACTGAAATTCTCTACAGCTTCGCCGAGACCCATTACTATGATTTTTGCAACAATTCTTCCTGATATCGTGGTGCAATCCTCCGGCGCATCCCACGTTAGCGTGTTATCTTGGAATCTTAGATTGCTGTACTCCTCGGTTACAGTTTCTGAAAGTATTAAATTACAGGGTCGTTTCTCGAAATGAAAATTTCCCATTCTGTAAAACTATCGAGCCTCTTTTACCATTCTGATTGGTGTTAAATTCGATTATTTCTTGGGGTCCTCGATTGGAAGTGTGGGCCGCGATTTTTACAACGTATCGCGCATAGGGTTTCAATTTCGAGTACGTGGCAGTAGTGAAGTTAGGAGTATTGGAAATAGTTTCGATTATCGGCGGTGGAGCCGTCGAATTATCGCAGCCAAGATACCTTTGAACCTTGACAAAAATGACCCTATTAGTTTCTCATTTTTAGTCCTGCGAACTTTGCCGTTTCGTTACCTGGAACACAGTTTCGTATTTCTGTACGATTCCATTCGGGTACAAAGGGGGATCCCATTTTAACGTAACTTCGTTGTACGATCTTATTATCATTCGAACGTTCCTTACGTTTGACGGCACTGTTAATTCCAAGGAATGCTTGAACAATGGTAGTAACGAGGGGATAAAGTTAGAGAGATACGCGTATAATCACCTCCGTCGAGAGTTTGGATTTTTTGTGAAAATAAAACTTCTGCTCCGTTGCTGACGGTAAGTTTATAAAGAGTATAAGGTGTCAGGTTGGTAAGTTCTAACGGTAATTTCGTTAGATTCCCTTTGCTAATCTGCTCGCCTGTTTCGTGATTTTCCAAAAGAAAATTGCTCGGGCAAATGTACATGTTCTGTAAAATCAACAGAATATGCCGGATTTCGATAATTCGTCGAGCAGAATTGTGAAAGATTAAAGCGTGGAAATTATTTACGTACTACTTGTTCACCCGTTTTCAACGTTAAACTGGTATTCCTTATTTCTACTTTAAAGTTGATATTCGCTGAAAAATTTCGTAATTCGCGGTTACATCGTTAAACCGGTATTTGTCGGGGAATTAACGAATGTAGCGATAGCTCACCAGTGCAGCCATTTGTGAAATTCTTCCATTTTCCGTATATGGGTAGAAAAGAATCGATAACGCCGAATACGCACCGAATTTGGTAAGAAGAGTTTGGCTTTAATTCATCCGTATATCCGATCATGGTTGTAGTGTCGTCAAGTATATTCGCATTTCCAATCAGATCTGGTTTCCCCCCGTCCAATTTCTATCGAAAAATACAATTTTCTATCGAATTACAGGACAAGTATACCAAATGAAACATATTCCAATTACCAATATGAAAAATTTGTAACTAGAAAGTATCAATTTATATTCTTCTCTCACTGGAACGAACACACGAACCGCCGTTTCGTTGATAAAATCAATCTCGGGTAGTGGAAGGTTTATGGCTTCACAAAGAGAGAAACAAAAAAAAAAATGAAAATTCGATCGTTTCGTTGGCGTTTAATTTGTTACCTTTTTTACAAAATGGCGGTATATAGTATCCTTCAGAGTTGTCACAAATGAAGTAACAATGTCCAGTTACGAAATTGCAATCCTTGTTTTTACACAAGCCACAAGTTTCGTTACATCCGTATCCGTATTGGCCAATTTGACAGTCTGTAAGCAGGATCTATCGTTATAAGAAAAATTCTCATTATCCGTTATTTGTCCTTGTTACACTCTAAGATCATTACTAGTGTCGCAGTCCGCTCCCAGGAATCCTGGTGGACACGTACAACCCCTTTCGTCACAGATCGCGATTCCTCTGCAGTTTACGTCGCTCTCCAAATCTTCCGCACAATTTATCGAACAATACGGGCCGATTGTTCCCCTGGGGCAACGTGTGTTATCTGTAGGAAAATTTGAGGAAATTCGTATGGGAATTGTTCGCGATAATTCCAAGAAACGTGAAGCACTACCGAATTCTGAATTGATCTTAACGTCAGGCAAGGAACTGACGACGGTGCTTTCGTCGTTGTACAGCCTTTGACATGTCACGTTTGGCCAGAAGTATTTGCCATCCGCATAATCTTGCGCAACTTCTATAGTAGCGTATCTTAAGGTACCTGTAAATTGTGTACCGTAGTAATGGTTGATCAATTATCGTATCGTCGATATTGTATCAAGCGTAGAGAGACCTATTGGCTGGCATTTTTCCAAGTACAACATATACCACCATGGATTTAAACTTTTCTGCTCGAGTTCTGGTAAGAGTATGATTTGTGTTTCTTTCGTGGTTTTCATCGGAATTTCTTTATCAATTCGAACGATTTTCCAATCGAGCAAACCGTGCTCGGCGATCATTGTAGATCCTTCTATCACTGCTAAATCTTCTGTTTTATCGTAGAATCGGTCGTACAGTCTTACCCTTAACCGACACTCCGCACACATGCTAATCCCAATTTCTATGCAAATATTCGTGGCGTTCTCGTAGAAAGGAAAAGTTATCGAAGATGAAGTATTAGTTGAGCCGCAAACTGTGCCTGAAACATCTGACCACCTGATCGTAAATATTTTCCGATTCGTTTTAATTGGACTTACCGTCCGGAGATTTGACAAGCATGCGCTTCGAGCTTGCTATATACAGCGAATACGTGTCGTCTCGTTGTCGTGGTCCGTTTACAACGACTTTCCCTCTCGCGAGTAATTTTTCGGTATCGTAAACTCGTATATTTTCGTAACCCTTGTCCCACTTGACGACGAACGTTCTCCATTCGGTTGAGAGGTTTGCTTTAATCTGTATCGTGATAAGTTATCGTGTTAGATTCGTAAAACGACACAAAGCTATTGCAAACATATATCGCGAAGAAAATACAAAGTAGACTCAACTGAAACATTTGTTAGAATCCGTAAATTTTCCGAGAATGCGAATAGCGGAGATGTAGCGTTGGACCAGTCGCCGATCGTAATCGCAAAACAGACATTGCCAATGCCGCAAACACGCATAGTGACGTACGTGGATGCGCGAATAGAGATGACGAAGTGTTGGGTAGAAAATGATTTTATAAACATGTATTTGCCCAAACTGTCGACATTATCGATCTCCCTGAAGACTGAAAAGTCAGTAGTGAATTTGTGTCGAGCCGTTTCATTGATTTTACGTTAAACTATCGAACCAAACCTTCCCATTTACGATTCCACGTGGTACCAGTGAGCATTTTAAGTTTGATCGGTTCCCAGCCTCGGTTTATCGTAGACGTTGGACAAAACAGATTCCACGGAGCACAACTGTTCTCCGGTCGACGCGAATTTAAACAAGCAAACCCTGTAATTTGTACGTGCCTCGGAAGTAGAATTTTTCACGATTAGAATAAATGTTTTTTTTTTATCGAAAACTTACGAGCTTGCTCGTCCGAACTATGCGCCCAGTTTAAATTTCTGTTCCATATTAAACCGCTGCCATCGTCGTCTGATATGCACGTTAGTTTTCTCGTACGAATGTTGTTTCTTCCGGTGTAGTCTTTTCTTCGTAATACAATTAGTTTACCGGAACTAGTGGCTACTTGTGCCAGGAGAAATAGTAACGCTAACACGTTCATTGTTCGTATAGGAAATGATAAAAAGTGATAATCGAAGAGGACGGTTTGGCGAATAGAGAAAATCGCATCCGACGTGAGGAAGATACGTTTAGCACGGCCGAAACAATACAAAGTGAGATTCTCTGGGAAGCTGAGGAAGTGGACTTCCTACGATAAGTTTTGTATCTGGTGTCTGTGACATGCTCGATAATGAGAACGAGAGGGAAAGTGGGGAAGGAAACGATCGGGAGCACGTTGCGCACATTTTTATTTGCAATATACAAGAGCTTAGAAAAATAGAACTGTACCTACTACTACTAGGTATTATAAATTTATTTGGCTTAAGATAACGATAGATTACAAACTCTCGGGGAAATATCATAAGACTAGGATTTCGATCAGAAAACGTATCTGCGGTAAAGAAGTTCCAACCTATCGCGGTCTCTGGACTTACATTATTATACTTTGAGCCGGAACGTTTCGTACATGTATGTATAATTGTACGATCGAAATGAAAGAAATCAGTGCGAAAGACGTGGTATCCACGAGTGTACTCTTCTGTGCCGGCCGAAATTGCATCTAGGCGATAGGAGTGCTAGTAACGCTAAAATAGCACCTAACAGAGAAACTCCGCAGAGAGCGCCAGCTGTGACATCGTGAAGAGGGGTTCCAGCTTTAGGGGATTTCGCAGCTAGCAGCAATAGTCCTGCACAGCTTAACGCCGCTAGTCCAGCGAGTCCAAGTCCTGTCCAAGTCTTCCTTAAGGTTCTGCAGGCACCAGCTAAGGCGCAACAGGCACCACATCCCGCTGCACTGTCGTAATAGTACCTGGAAATAAAGATGGACCTGTTTAGCGTTTGATGGAAGCCAGAACCTTTCTTTATTCTCGTGTAATTACCTTCTTCCCTGCGTCCAAGACAGATACAAGGCTAAACCGCAGGTGAGGATACCAACGAGAACCAATAGAAGTGGCGCGTTCCTTCTGTCGTTCTTCTCTAAACCGCTAGCCAATGTTGTGTTCGCATCGCTGTTGGGTGGTGAGAGCGGTGGTACCTGTACGCGATAAATAGCACGTTAGATCATCGTTCGATCCTCCGTTGTTGTTGCGCAACCGAGAATGGATTATATTATCACCGACCACTGCGGTTCTAGCGATGAACGCGCTTTCCACGCTTTGATAGCCGTTTCTCTTCTGTCCAGCGGGTATCACCTGATACCTAGGTGAACCGGACACCATCGGCATAGATTCTGGCCCACTTTCCATGTACGCGTAACGAGGTGGCGGGTCACCGTGACCCATCGTCACAAGGTCGACAGGAGCCGTGCCTACGTATCGTAGTCTTCCACAATTACTGGCTGGACAAACCTGGTCCTGTTGTCGGGGAGGCGGGTTTTCCAGCAACGGTAGACATCTTCTTACCGACGATTCTTTGTTAGGGGTGGAGGTTTGAGGACCGGTAGGGAACGTCCGATTCTGCGGTGTACCTTGAGGCGTCAAACGGCTCGGACTGAACGTTCGACCTAGATTTTTCGTAAAATTAGTTTAACTAACTTTTCTATCCGTCGTCGGTGAGATTTGAGAAAAGCTCGTGTGTCGTTTCGAGGGTGAATCGTATGAAAAGAATATTTGGTAAAGAAATGTGTACCGGTTGGCGAGCCACCTGGAGTGAGCGCTCTTCTTTGTGGCGTACCGGTTTGATTGAACGACTGCTGTTGCCTCTTCGGAGATAGGGTCCTCTCCTCGGATCTGGATCGAGGTTTCCTGGGAGTGGTCAATATCTCGTGCAGTTTTTGCGTGGCCAAGTTGTTTCTCGGCGAGACGGACAACACCTGACCGTTTCGTTCTGGAAGAGCTGGAGGGTCCTCCTCTTGCAGAGGCACTCTGCTATAACGACCTAGTAACACGCTGATGTTTTATTACCAAGAATCGCCATACAGAAATCTCCGGTTCAACTTACCCTGAGGCGTGTTGATATGTCTTCTCACCGGGGATAGGTGTTTCCCTGTATTCCACACGATCTCCTCGTCCTGATAATCCTGATCACCCGGTACAATCGTGTATCGTCCACCGTTGTTCCGACAGCTTTGCATCTGCAGCTCGTCTTGGTTGACCGCCGGTGCGGAACGTTGTTGCACCTGCTGTTGTGGAATGAACTCGTACCTCGAGGAACCCCTCCTCTGTATCTGACCCCTCTGTTCGTCCTGTATGTACTCGTACCTTGAACTTTGCCTGTACATAGCGCGGTGCTCCTCCACCGGAACGCTTCCATACCTTCGATGCGTAGAATTACCATTTTCCTCGAGATAGCAGTACCTGTTCCCGCTCTTCTCCAGCTCTCTAGGTCCTTGAAAAGCGGGGTTACTCTGACCACCGTTCCATTGCAATTGCAACGGGGGAGGTGGTGGCGGTAAGTCTTCGTTACTTTGAAACTGTGGAGGAGGCGGTAGATCCCCTTGATCCTCGGGTATGTACTCCGATTGCCGGCAAAACGAGGGATTCGTGTAACAATGGACCGGAGTTGGTTCTGTTGTCTGGGCCATGCTTTTATCGCAACTCGTTCAACTTTGATCAATGTCTTTCAGGGAACGTTCCACTAGGCACCAGGAAACGGGGAATCTTGATAGTCGACGTGCACCAGATTTGTCACGCACATTTACAGTTCCTCGACGCGTTCATCCTTTACGAGCAATTTTTTCGATTCACCAGAATCAGCAGAGTGCTACTCACGTAGGAGGGAGCTGTCCAGGTCTCCAGGGAGAAGCTGACCGATCTTGTGGGCGGCGAGATGACCTCTTGCGCGGGAGTATGTTGTTTCCTGCACATTTTCCACGATTCTTTTCTTCTCTCTTCACTTTTTTCTTTTTTACTCTTATCCGTACCCCCTTCCGCACTAAGCACTTGTCGTCATCGCTGAAATCACAATTTTAAACACTCCGTCGAATTTAGTTTAGTTTCCTGCTATCCAAAGCGCGTGCAAAACGATTTCCTCCGACGAACGTCCAACTTTTCTCCGAGGAGTTCACGAGTCCGTCGTGACAAAGTCCGATGCTCGAATGCGTTCGATCCGTGCACTACGGTTGCCTCCAACAAACTGCCACATGAGTTCCCTTAAGAGCAGATGCACGAAGGGCGTTTCTCCAAGCGTTTCCACTGCATACACGGCGTGTGTATGTGCGGCGTACTACCTGAGGGGTTGTCAGAGGGTTCGCATAATACGGGCCTGGTGTCCCATCACGGGGTGGGGGCCCTGTCACCTATAGTTCGTTTCCTCCAACGTTTTTTATGTTATCGCTACCCTCGATAGTACGTCGAGGAATTTATACGCGCCGCCGTCGCGACATTTAAATTTTAAAGTCCGCTCCGTGCTAATTTCGGTCGTTTCCAAATCAGCGCTAAAGTAAAATTGAACAATTACAGACGTACTTAAGTAGGTGGGAGTTATCCCGAGAGACTCAATCGTAGCGCATTGCGATGTAGCCGAGTTTCGGATGCCGCAAACGGTGGAGTAGTTGTCGATATTAAAGAGACAAGGATAGAAAAAAAAAAAGTTAGAAAATTGTAAAATTGTTTTTTAAATCGATTGGAGAAAACGGAGTGTATCGTTGATAATTTCGAATGAAAAAGAATTCGCCGATCGAATTGAAAACTGAGATAGAACGTTCGTTCTAAATCGTACAGCCGGAAGCAGGAGTCATTGTCACGTGTGTGGATGGCAAGAGAACTCCAGTTGAGGGTACTGTAGATCATTTTCTGGGCAGCTGCCGCGACCGTTGGGACGCGTGCCCCAATCGTAACAGCTGCTTCAACACAAACGCGTCTCGATCACAAACATGCTCTTTATCTTTCATTCTTCGTACACGAAATACACAGTGTTGGCTCCGTATGTTAACGGCCGAAATGTCATTTCGTGTGGAACCGGGAGGACCGCGATACGTTCAAATTCTAGCCGCAAATTGGACGTACTCTGAGTTTTTCGAAAAGCACGCTCGGTGACTTGAACGCTGGATCGAGGCATGTCGCGGCGATCGGAAACGTTCGATTTTCCACAAGAAACCACCAGTTTCATGCTCGAACGATTCTAATTATTTTTCTACCGGGAGCCAGAGAGGCTTGGGTGCAAAAATATTGGAAAGAATGCGTCACGGTGAAAAGTAAGAATCGAGGATGAAAGATATCGGCGACTTTCTTCTCAGTTTCGTGATTAACTAACTGTATACCTATTCTATTAAGCGATAAGAAAGTAGAGGCTGTGCTAAATTACGAAGTGAATTCAGCCAGTTTCTTTTCACCCCCATTAAACAGTAATTCCTCCCGACTCTCCATGGGATTACAATCAATCTCTAGATGAAAGTATAGCAGATTTTCTGCTCGAACGATCTATCGACGACGCGACGCTACAATTTTGTTCCGGAAGCTTGAGAAAGTGTACTTTTCTCTTTTCTTGCGGTTCACTTCAGATTAACATATCTTTTCCCTCTCGATTTTTGAATCTATCGCCAGATGTTTCAGATGTTTGTACAAAGATGTGTATACGCGAAACGATTGCTCATGAGCGGATCCATCGAGAAATCGATTTCTAAAATATAAGGGTGTATAGTATACACGTGCGCAGTTATTCACTGGACGCGTGCCGAAACGCGTGTCAGTTTTGTCCTTCTATTGTTCGCACAGTTTCGACCGTACTCTCCGACTGAGTCATCGCAACATTTTCCATCGTCATTTTCATTTTCGAACTGAAAATCATGGTGTTTATAGTCTTGGCGAGATTGAGAAACAGGCTAGCGGAAAAAATATTTCGAAGAATGGTATACTTTTATGGAGCCCAATTGACCCAAGTAAAGGGTCCACGGACCGCAATAAACTTTATTGGCCTTCCTTTTAATCACTTTGTTAATACAAGGCAGCTGACTTGATTAGTCTGTGTTCTTAGCAATCGACCCCAAATGAAACGTTCCAAGTCCACGTCGATGGCGAAGCTTCTTCGTGCAACAACCCTTTTTTCGCGAGAAAACGAACGGCGTTCTTCCAACAGGTTGGAGAAAAGGTCGTGTGCCGTGCCCGTGTAAAGGTTAGCGTGATCCTTCCTCAGGATTCTGGGATCCAACTTACCTACGAATTACCTGCAATAGAAACACAAGAAGAAAGATATCACCGTGTATATTTAGGATAGTGAATTTTTTTCTATATTTAGGATAGTGAATGCATTTCTCGCTCGTGAACCGTGACATCGTTTCCCGAGCGCGGAAAGTGGTGTGAAGAAGGCTTAAAACAACGCGAAGGTTCATCTGTCCGTCGTTCACTGTTGTCCCTTTCACTGCGAACCGACCGCGTGGGAGGCCTGTTCAGGATCTCGTAGTAATTTCAACCCGAACTAGTCTTCGTCCGCTGCTCAGTCTACGCCGGAGTGTCTTTCGCGGACAACCTCTTACCTTTACAAATTACTCGCGAGATATCAACAATTTCTCTCAACCGGACGATACCGTTTCCTCGAATGCCCAACGAAATTGGAAAACTTACGGTGGAACGTTACGCGGAAAAAGAAAAAAGGAACAGTCTTACGATCGATGTTTACTACGTCCTTCGATGATCGTAACAACGTTAACTAGACTGTCCATCAGGTCGATAAATGTCGGCAATTAACCGTCGCTAGACGCTCCAGAGAAGTGAACGGAAGGGTTCTCGAATGTTCGAGGAACGATCAACAAGGAGAACGATTTTATTGATCGCTCGTGACAATCTAGACGTAGTTCTCGTCGAAGGAAACTGGATCGGTGATTTCCCAAGAGGTTGAAAAATCTAGAGCGGCTCTGGCACAAAGGGGCAAGAAATCGGTGAAAACGGTGTCTGGGAAATCTCGAGCCGGCACAGACGCGCGTTCAACAAGATTATCGCGACGGTTCGCGTAATCACAGTGGCTGTTGCATAATATTCGCAAGCAAAAGAGATCGAAAACAAGAAAAAAAGAGGATAGCCGAGGCAACGAAGACGCGTCAGGTTGTTAAACCTATTTACCGTTCCGCGTTCACGCTCATTGGATAGAATCGTTCCTTCTCCCCGAGTTTTCGTCCTCGTTCCATTGTTAGCACGCGAAATTGCACAACCGTGCACGCCGAGAGTCACGACGAAGAAATCCTCGCGACGTGGGACGGTGGGACGAAGATTTGAACGAAATTGAACCGGTTAGCATAATTCTTCCTGCAGCGAAGGAAATCATCGACGACTTCATCCGGATTAACGTTTCAGCAATTTTACCATTGTGAATCGAGGGATAGCGTCGAGCAGTCTCGATTCTTCGCCGGTAAAGCTCGTTCCGTTCCTGCTGTCGATCTTCTCGAAATTATACTTACATCACGGTTAACCCGGTATATTTCGTTCACGGTCAAGTGCCTTCGGTTCCGAAGCAACAGGAAGTGCAAAGCAATTTCCGTAGGAGGGAACCAGGTTAATATTCTATTACATATGTACGTCTGGGCGACTTAATGGCATTCAGGATGGATCGCCGCGGCAGCAGGCGTTTCCAACTTTTCTTCCTCGCCTGTGGAAATTTTCCCCTTAGTCAGCTTCGTTTCACGTTCGCGTGACTGTTCCGCGGTTCAACCGGTTACATAAAACACGTAAGAGGAACAATGATGAAGAACGTGTACGTGATAAAGGTGAAAACGAAGCCACCTTTGTCTTCGTTGTATCCATCCGAGCGTCGTTATTCAGCGTCTACCGTGGGAGGTCTGTCCTTCGTCCATTTTGGTCTCGGTGCGCTTTCCCTTCTGCTGGGTAGCCTGGCCTTATCTCTTCAGGGCCCGATACTGTCCGTCGCGTGCTTGGTCCCCTTTGTCACGGGTTTGCTCGCCTGGAGAAGATGGTACATCGATCGGAACATCGCTGTGTTCTTCTACGGAAGCCTGTTCTCGATGACAGCCGCGGTACTCTGTTTCGTCGCTACGATCTTCGATATCGCGGCTGCAGCTCAGTGCAGAGGTACCTTGTGGTCACTCGAGAAAATTCTCGAGCAGCCGCAAGATCGTTCTCACCTCGAGGGACAGCTGAAAAACGATACTATAATGAACGAGACGATATCGCTGGTGGAAGACACGTTCAATATCAGTCGAAGCTACGACCAGGCTCGAAAGATGGATACTTTTGCACCTACAACCGGCATCGTTTTCGATAATATGTCCAACATATCTGGATATATTCTGAGAACTTCCACCAGCGATCCTGGAGAGGACGAAGATCCTATAGACGAGGTGCATTCACATGGAGATTTTGGAAACGTCACCGAGGAATCGTTGGAAAGTACGAGGAACAGAGTGATGTCGTTTTGGCACAGGGATCATCGGGAGTTTTCTCACACGAAGATCTTGCTAACGGTAAACGTGCTGGTCGCGTCTCTTCTCGAGGTATTTTGGTCGGCTTTGAGCGCCAGAATTGCGCTTAGAGGGATGATGAATCGTTTGGCGGAGAGTAGCTACGCGAATGGAGCAACAGGAAACGCGAAATTGGAGGGAACAGGAGGAGGAAAGAGGAAACCGCCAGCCCCACGGCCGGACATTTTAGATCACGATCGTAGACTATCCGAAAGCTTGCAAAATTTAAGCGCACTGCACAGTCTGAGAAATCCTGGGCCAAGATTGCCTCTGCCAGAATCTAGCAGAGAATTCAGGGAAAGGGTGGAGAGGTTTCTGGCGAATCAAGCGGCTCACCGTGTCGTCGAGGGATCCTGCTCTTGAAATCGACATTTCGTACCAGCGTGTGAAAGGACGATAAACTAGCGAATTCTGGGGACGAAGAAATTGCAACGAAACGTCGCATCTCGGTGATTGCGACAACGGTAGGATAATATCGGTCTCTCTGTTCTGTTGTCACGATTCCACCACGATATCGATTGATGCAATAAAAATGATAGAAAAAAGAAAGAAAAAGGAAGTTTCACGTTACGATCACTGCCAATTCCCTTCATTTACAGTTTATTTAATTAGCTCGATAGGTAGCGTACTGTTAAATGTACTGCAAGTAATTTGTAAGTAAATAGCGTGCCATGAACAGTCGATTGCAGCACACACGGTTGCCGGCGTCGCGTCGCACCGACGATTCAGACGCGTGAGTGGATACAGTTAAAGAACGGTAGCGGTTTATAACGAGCCTTCATTCTGAAAGATCCTATCGAGCGGGACACGGTCCTAGAAAACACATTAATTGCGATTTATTAACTTCACCCCACACGTTCCTTCTTTAATTGAATGATTCAGCTCGTTGGCGAGTCCGAACTCTAAATGGAATCTCGACGAGCCTTTCCTCGCAGCCAGGTTGCGTTCGCACACGAACTTGTGTAAATTTCTCACTGCCTTAAATAATTCATCGACGAACCCGTGTGCTCGTCGGAGAAAATGATCGACGAATCTCGCGCGTTCGTCGCGGATTTTCCTTCCTGCCGTTCGATATCGCGAGCGCTGTTTTAAATTGCACCGTCCGAAGACAACGATATCTCCAATCGTGATTCATTCATCGTTGCAGCTGGTTGAACTTGAATGTATAATATATATGAACAAATAGAGACGGCGCGGTTCGGTTGGTAACGTGATAGACACGTTTTTACGGTGTCGCTACCGCGAACGATCAATCTAGATTACGCGAAATTAATGTTACGTACAATGGCCTGGCCCCCTCTCGCGTGTGCACACGTATTGCGAAAGTTCAGCGATCGTGCCGGCACTCTTGCGAAATCTCCCATAATCTGATATTGGCCAACGCGAGCAGAGCGCGGGAGTTTACTTAGAAAATTTGCTGACAATAGATCCCGCATTCCTCGTTAAATGCTTACCTGGGCGTGTTTCAGTGACATATCGGTCACGATTGAATCAGCTCCAGCGTGAAACAATTACCGTATATCTTTGGCTACATCCGTTTCTTCCACTGGACCGCCGTTAAAGGGAAGGTAGAAAGATAGTGGTAAAGGAGAAGTATCTTCTTTCTTTTTATCGAATTTATTACACTCGAAAGAATTGCTACAATTCACCGAGGCACACGCAGTTTCTTTCTTTTTTTCCTGTTTTTTCTTTTTTACAAAACCAAGCTTTATTCGTTAAACATTGTTAAGTTACATCGTTCGACAATGTATCGGACTTGCTACGTATCGCTCTTAAGGTACACTTTATCGAGTAAATAACGTTAAACTACTCCCCTAAAGCTGGCCTTGTCACTTTCGCTTCTTGAATCACTGATTATAAAATATGCATCTGCTTCGTGTTGTTACGCGATAAATGGCTGACAACGATAGACGATATTCTAATCCGTAATGGCTAATTCGGTAAAATCCAATTTTACCTCTACATTGTTCTTGGTCCACCTGTATTGCGTGTTCGAAATCGAATAAATTAAAGGCACACGTATAACGAAACTTTTTCCACCGACGCGTCAAATGAGAGTAAAAAAAAAAGAAGAAAAAACGAGATCGTAGGTCGAGCGAAAAGATTTTGTCGTGTCGTGTCCGAAAATATCCGGCGAGAATTGAAAGGAACGTGTAAGAATGGCAGTGACCGAGAATTCAGTGAATTGAACACGCTGAAATTGTAAACTGATCTTCGAGTGGTAAAGATTTTCGAGACGATTAGCATCTAAGTGCGAATTCGAGTTGACATCTAGCAAGATATTGGCAAGAGTAAAGCACACGTTTGTACATGGACGTTTCTAACGAGTCGCCAAAGTAAAAGTCTCCGTGGATGGATCGAAACGACTTTGGAAAAATCTAATTGATCCGTTTCGCTGACTTTTCTACCTTCTCTGGAGACCTTTTCTTTGGCATATCACCTATGAAACTAATTCTGTTTCTCTCTCTCTCTCTCTCTCTCTCTCTCTCTCTCTCTTTTCTCTTATCTTCGCCGACGTGGATCGACGATTAATGTTACCGAACAACGTGGGCGACCTATCGTTTAATTAACAAAAATACATCGCTACGTAGGATCTCTGACACGTATTCTGACGTACAGTCGTCTGCATCTTGTTAAATCCATCTCAGACTTGTAGTAATACGTTCATCAGTACGTGATACATTTTCTTATACGCTTACAATCTAATGGTTAAAGGTTGTTTTTTACGTCTTACGGTCTACTGTACCACAAATCACATCACTTTTATGACTCTATTTAACGAATACGGTAATCTCAGCTTTGCACTCTTATCACCCATCTTTGTATTCTACATGGACAATTCCCTATCTATTTTATACGGCAGTTCGTAGATTGCGTTTCGACCTGGAGTACATATCTCCAGAATCGTAGGAAAACGAAAAAAGTCTATGAATTGGACACGGTTCTCGGTAAAAATTTCCCTCTTAGAAATCCCCTTAAATTACCATGTTTTCTTTTTTATTTAAATACTTACTACTGTTTCTCTCGACGGTTATCAACTGTTTTAAAATACGATCACACGTTCACCGGTCGAACATTATCATCCGACTGTTGCTGCTCACCACTCTGCCAGCCTGAATCTAACGTTGTAGAATCACTCAAGCAACACTGAGGAGTTTCCTCTTCCTGGCTGCTTCTGTAGTCCCTGTAATCTCTCTCTCTTCCCCTCTCAGTCTCTTCCTCTCTGAAGTATCCCGAAGTCGCAGGACCTTCCTGGAGTTGCTCGTCGTCCTTGGACGTGTAATAAGAGTATCGACCTTGTTGAATCACCTCGTACTGAGCATCGGGCGCTAGAAATGGTCCTCTGGCGCTTCTCGGTTCGTCGCTGTTCGCGTAATTGTCCGACGGTATGTCTCCGCCGTCCGATGGCAACGGCAGAGGCATTCTCGATCGTTTCGAGAGTTGTCGTTTGCCTAGACGAGCTGCTAAGTAGTCAACACCTTCCGAGTGCTCTGCACCTGTGAACATTCGGACGAAAATTACTTATAGATTCTTTGCTAACTGTTGGATACCTTCTGCAAATATCGTTGCATACCTTCTTTCTCCACAGCTAAATCGTAGAAACTGCTCTCCGGTCCGCAGCAAGAGGACACGTCGCCGAAATATAGCTCACTTTCTGACTGTTTTGGTCCAGGATTGGCTTCCTGTTGAAATGCTCCATTTTCTACTCCTTTCAACGGTTTCCTAGTTCTTCTACCTTTCATCGTGCCCTCGTTTCCTCCCTCTGGATCTGTGCTGTTCGATATTTCTTCGGCGTTTTCGTAGTTATCGGAAGGACGTTTCGCGGGCCTCGCTCTGTGATCTGTGGTAGTATTGTTTAAACCTTGAGAAAGTTTTTCAATTAATTTTAATATTTAATACAGGGTGTTTCATTGCTCACCTTCGTTGTTCTCAAAGTTCTCTATTCTTTTCGTTATTCTGGGCCTTTGTTCTGTCACTTGTGGTCGCCTGGCAGGACTATTGGGATCGCTGTAAGGCGGTGGAGGACCCCACAGAGGCACCGGGGTCTCTAAGACACTGTAAGAAGCTGTGCTAGGAGTGTACGGTCCGTTTTGCGTGTTTAAAACAGAGTAAGGACCGCTGGACTGAGAATTAAGGACACTGTACGGTCCGTTCGTGTTTTCTACGTTGGCCTCGGTTTGCCTGGCCTGAGTGTGGAAGCCGTAATTCGAGTCAGGGCTCGGAGCTGGTCCTCTGGACCTCGACCAGGGCAGTCGCCATCTTCTGCAAGAAGAAAGAAATATTTTCCTCGAAGATACATACTAACGAGGAGACACGATCGCAGTTTTTGCCGAGACGAAGAAATCTCTCTTCTAAATGTCAGAACCGGAATGGAACGTGGCGAGCGCTTGATTAATGGGCATATATTAGCGAATCGGTGGATTATCGGAATCGAACGTGTCCTGGGTGGTATCCAGGGGATATATCATAGTTGCCTTGTTTACGAGTTTATTGCACCCCGGTGGAGATATTCGTGACACTCGTGAATGAAATCTATTGAATATGTATCGTTACGCTCGCTAAAGCGAATGCACATTTGAATTGCATCGATAATTTCTCAATGAAGCTCATCGGGGACCGCTGGTCCCGGTATTGAATTTGTAACGATGCAATAACGTTGCTCGTGATGCGCCTAGCTATTATGCAACTTTTACGGAGACCGTCAATAAACTACGTTGAATCTCGTGCCGCGGCGTCATCCGTTAAATTGACATTGGTGCAATAAAACGGTCGCGTACTCAAGGTTGAATCGATTGAAATTTCCAAAATGGGACAACTCCGAACCAAGTGAAAACTTTCGATCCCTCGAATTTTTCGTACCTTTTCCCGATATTATTTACCTGGATGGAGCCAAGTCGGGATTCGGCGTGTACAAATTCCCCGGTGTCTGCGCCCACCACGGGCTAGCACCACCGCAGTCGTTGCAACATCCGCAGGAACCAGTCGCTGGTCCCACGGTTCCTCCCTGGCCGTAAAGAGACCTGCATCTCAGCTCCAACTGCTCCCAGTACATCTTCTTCCTCTCGTGACTCAACAACTGGTACACCAGCATGCAGGAGAATATGCAAGCCAAGATTCCAGCGACCGAGACACCGAACAGAGCTCTCAGACAGGCGTGGAGGGCGCCGTGGACTGCTTCGCAGTGAGGTGTTCCTTCGAAGAGGACACCTGGATCTCCTTCCGGTGCTCCGTAACACGTGCACGACCTGGTATCGTAATTATCGAATTGAAAGTATCGATCTTGGCAGTGTGGATAAAAATAGTGCATCGATATGTACCTAGCTTTAGCGGTGTACACGCATTTTCGAAGACCTTGCAGCCGGGACATGTGTATGACTGTGGTGGTGACGGTGACTGACACGCATATCAACGCACATATCACGCCGACAGAGCCACAGACTTTCATCTGTAAAAAGGTTCGGAGTAGAGAGAGATAGAGTGTTTCTATTTGAAAGAAATGTATACCAGGGAGGATATTTGGACAAGATTACAAGGAACTTACCAAGAGTCCGTGTCTGTGTTTCCGCCTGGCGAGCAGCATCGTGTACAGACCCATTAAAATTAGCTGGAAAATAATAGGAAACGCGCAGGATTAATATGGTCCCTCGATGTCCTTTGTGGTATTATACGGTCTCGTTAGAGGGAGATTTGGTTGATAGATTCCGATCTTTGCCTCTTACCATTATGCCAGGAATGTAAGATGGTACAGTCTCAAAGAGAGCTAGGCTGGCCGTGTGGGCTGAAAGGACCGCGTGTACCGCCAAAAAGAGACTACCGACCGCAGCGCTCAACCCACCACAAAGGCAACAAAGGACAACGTACTTCTTGCAGCAACCACCTTCCCCCGTGTGGCCTGTAAAATTAAAATCGGTCACTGATAGCTGAGAAGCGATAGCAGGGTGGATTAAAAAACGGGGGAAATAGGAGTGTATCCGGAGGGGACACACTGTGTACCGTATACACTTTGAAAAACCTTTAACGAGAGAGAGAGGGAAAGACGACTCGAATGTTTCTCGAAGGCTTTTGAAAAAAAAAGGAAAAAAAAACACGGGAAGGTTAATATCTCGCGTCGTATCTTTCTCTATCGTCTCAAGGGATCTCTCTAAGATACACGAAATAGCTCCAAGGATATTTTCTCGGTGGTTAAAAACGCTGGAATCTTTTGTACTGTGTATATGTACGACTATATCGACCCTTTTCAGAAGAAAAAAAGAAAAAAAGAAAAGGTCCTGCACGACTTATTCCCATCGTGCTGGCTCCTTCTTTCACGGGATATAATGATTGTCCTTGCGTGAGAACCCGACAACGGGAGCCCTGATCTAAAACCACAATGAGAAACGTGCCGCGAGCGAAATTCTTCGAATCTTGCTTAGACGATGATTAGCCATCCTTCCTTCCTACCCCCTTAGAGATCAACTCTGATTCACCTTCTTTCTACAACGCTAACTAGACTTTAGTTGGTGGAAAAAAAAAGTATCAGCGATTGTTCGTCGATGATTAAACCAGAGCTGCCTCCGCCGTTCCGTTGAATCGCATACAATCATCCATTAATAATTCGAGCGATAATTTTCAACGATAAAGGGCATTATATTGAAATGCGACGGCGTACAAAATTGGCCTCTACACCGGTGTGTAATCGTACAAGTGGTATTTTTCGCAATAGGATGCCCGTGGGGTATATATCCCGTTCTCGATCATCCGGAGCTGAACTTTTGTTGTCAAAGCTCGCAATCGAGCCGCGCACGCTCTATTGGAAATTCCTCGAATGAATGTTGAGCGATGGAGAGAAGCGTCGACGGTATGTCGCTTCAAAGACAATGCCAGAATTCTCTCTATCTCTCGAGAGATCGAGAGAGCGTCGACAGAGCTGAACTTTTTAATCAGGTTTCCCCATTAATAAAGGAGGGTACTGTGCCTCTCTACGCACGAGCGAGTCGCGAGTTCGACGAACAACCGAAGAGATCGTCTTCTGTAATTAAAAATCTAATTATTTTTTTTACCTGTCGACGTTTCCGCGGTAATAAAGTGGTCAACGCAACGCAACCGTCCTTCTCCCCCCCCCTTTTTTTTTTACTTCTTTCGAGGGAAACTAGACCATTGTCGAACCTTTCGACAAACAGATCTTCGGCGAAAGAATGAATCGGAGAAGCGTTCCTTTTAAAAGACCCGATTCCTCCCTTTGGGAGAGGATTCTTTCTCGAAGAAGAAGCTCGGGGATTTCGTTGCCAATGACTCGAAAAGCGTTTTCCTCGACTTGAATGTGCGCAACCTTGCTTCAAGCTCGCGATAATCTCTATTGAAACCGTCAGGGGAGAACCGTTTTACCGGATACCTGGTTTTTCTGCTGAATGCAACCAAGATTTAGGATCGAATTGTCAGAGTGCACCTGTGCTACCTGAACCGGTATAGTTACGGTTTCGTATAGAAACGTAGCTTTCGGAGTAAGCCAAGCGAAACTGGCATTTAAATGCTCGCGCGTAAAGGAAAATATATATATTTCGAGGGTTAAAAAGGGAGATTTTCGTCGTAAAGCCGAACCTAGACTCTTTACAGTTGGAATAGCTTGGTGAGCAATATTTTCTCGCGAACGTAGAAACCTACTCGATTCGCGTCGATTTATCCACGATGAATTTTCGAAATTTTTTCCTCGAATCAACCGTGCGATACACCGTTAAACGTGTTTTATTAAGATGCCTGTCGATATCTATTTATACGGCAACCTTTTGTTGTCCACGTGACCTTCCCCGCCAATGTAACATATTTCTTTACAAGTAAAAATAGAACCGCGATAGAAAATGCATTCCTCGTGGTACGAAAGAAAAGCGGATTTAGAAAATCGGTAAAAGATACGTTGTATCGGAGGCGACTTAATGGAATAGCTAATAGCAGATTATGCGGGTATGCAGATCAGCGGCGGAGACAGAATGGGGTTGGCAGGGCTGATTGATAAATTAACAAGAAGGGTTAATCGGCATACCACAGGGGTGAGGGTAATGCGATCTCGGGAAGTGCGCGTGGTTTGCCGGATGTGGCAAGTGGGAATGCGAGTGTGCTGCAATTGTGAATGGATAACCGTGGTTATCCATCTCTATTTCCGTTCCTAGTCGACATCGCACTATCTGGAGCACTGGATATCCATCCATCTTCTTTGCTTCGACTCGCACGCTCGAGAGTCTACGTTCAAAGCCACACTTCCAAGATCTCGATCACACCACTGTTGTCCTTGTTAAGAAGTAACACGTGTCTCTCTCTCTCTCTCTCTCTCTCTCTTCACCGATGCTTCGTTTTCACTAAAAATTTCGGAACACTCTCGTTGCACAACAATCGATCACACCACTGTTGTCCTTGTTAAGAAGTAACACGTGTCTCTCTCTCTCTCTCTCTCTCTCTTCACCGATGCTTCGTTTTCACTAAAAATTTCGGAACACTCTCGTTGCACAACAATTTCGTCAACACATCGGGGAATTAGAATTGCTAAACACACCGGTCCCCGCGTTAACGAGGGAAACGAATAAATCGAAGGTGAAATTACACTCGCGAGATACGTATGCGCGTCACATGTGTCCTCACACAGGAAGTATCGTCTCTCTCTCTCTCTCTCAAGGTCGATTCTTAGTCGTCCACTCTCTCATTGATCGCTCTCCCTACGGTGAACGTCGAGATCGAAGAAGATCACGAACGAGATGTAAAAATGTCACGTCGACGTAAATTCTTCCCTCCGACCCGTCCAAGTTAGACGGTGCCAAACGAATGCTAGAGCACAACAACTCGAGGTGCACTCCACGAGATCTCTGTTGGCTCAGCACGCTGAGAGGTGTCCCACAGGTGGTGGTGGTTGGCGATTTCGGTTGGAAGCTCGAAGCTTAGGATTCGATTGTGAAGGCTTCCAAGATGGCATTCCTTCGCACGGCCATTCACCAAACGATTAGGATTAACGGTGGAGAGAGAGAGTAAAAGTATGGTCGGCTTGTTGTTCGATTCGTAACATTCTTCGACACGATGCTCCTGCTCCTCGGTTGCTGCGAGCATCGACTGGTCGATATACCGTGACGATTCGAGCGACTCGACGCGGTCGAGGGTTGAAATTCCACGGGGGTTGTTCCACGAGACGAACAGAACCGTTCGACGTTGCCTCTCGGCGTCGATAACGCGTGTCCGCTCTCGATAAGAGGGACGACACCGGTGCTGGGTTCTTGCTCTCGTCATCCTGCTGATACTGCAGACAGTCTGGATGATTCGTAGGGTGAAATGACTAAGGGTGGAGCTACCGGCTACCTTCTCTCTACCTTTCGTTTCATCCGAGTCGCAGGAAACACTGTCCGACTGCGTGACATGCTGGCTTTAAGTGGAGAATCAAGCGAGGGGATGGGAAGAGTGGTTGGTATGGAAGCGATATTGTATATCCGCCATTCAAATTGGCAGGCTAACGCGTAAGAGATATTGATTCGGTATTGAAACAGATACTCCCGCTCTCGAGCACTCGATTTTGTATTCGGCTATTCAATACGGCTGGTACTATCGCGAAGTTTTATTAGAGTAACGAGCAGGAAGGACGTTTTTACGTTTGGTAATACGAACTTAAGACGTAGGAAACACTTACATTGATCGACGGACGTTGTTTCGTATCGTCTGGTTGGCCTGGGAGGTGGACGAGGAGGAAGAGCTGGGGGTTGATGCGTTCTCGATGTCACTTCAACACCGCCGTCGCTTTCACCCTCTTGCCCTCTCTTGTTTCCTCCGGTTTGCACCACGTGACATTGACATTTGCTCTTGGAAGGAGCCGACACCTAAATGTCAAAAGTGGCTATTCTCGTGAGAAGTTTCCAGCCACTTTCAGAGGTTGTAAAGCAGCGATCTTATCGGGGTATATTCGTGAGGAAAAGCGGTTGCGTTGGCAATTTTCAACAATTAATTCGTGTTGACACCGCGCGCGCACCGTTGCCACGCCGATAAATTGTTTAACGAGCAGTGTCGTGGAACTCGAGCGAGCAAGCGGCTTGCGTCAACGAGCAAATACGCTAATGATTAACGACCGTTGTCCGCCGCAGACGTGTTTAGATTTCGGCGGAAACGCGCGTGGACGAGAAAATTGCGTCGAACGAGAATACCTGTATCGAATCGACTCCGATGAGAGACGTATTTTTGGTATCGCTGTTCTGCGGATGCTGGTGGCCGTGGCTGTGCATGTGCGCATGATGATGGCCGTGATGCTCGAGACTCGACGGGGCTCTGTCCCTTTGCCGGGAGTCCGGGTGGCTCGAATGCAACGAATGCACTTGTTGTAAATGATGATGATGATCGTGGACGTGATCCAAACGGCTGTGCGTCCGTGTATTGGCGTTCGACGAAGAAGACTCGCAGGATATGCCAGAGCTGACATGATGATGATTCACGCTAGAATGTCCGGTTAAACTTCCTGACGAACTGCCGTGATGATGGCCGGCCAACGGTGTAGTCGAGAGGCTGCTATTCGCGTTTACCACGTGTCGATGAACCGCAGGTGAGCCACCGTGATTTAACATGCTCGAATTGGAGGACGCTCCGCTCATCGCGCTCGACGTGCCGTGATGCTCGCTGGAGAATCCCGAATTCGAGGGATAATGACTGGTGAGGCCGGTGTTGCCGCCAAGACGGTGATGACTCGTCGGCGAAGTTGTTCTGTGTCCCATAGCGGTGGACGTAGGTATCGGATTAGGATGATGATGAGCGTTAGGATTGGCACTCGCACTTTGACTCGCGTGATTCGAATTAGAACCGGTCAGAGGAGCAGAATTCCCATGAACATGTGTAGTTAGGCTAGGCGGCAGGTTCGCATGATGGTGACCGGTGATTCCTTGCGGGCCGTGTGGATGATGCACGGTCGCCGGGCCGTGGTGATGGGTCACGTTCGTGGTCTTGGTGTTTCCGTGGTGATGATGAGTGTGTTGTCGCTGGTGTTGCTGAAATCCCATCAGTCCTTCTCCGACGTCCAAATTCGTGCTGCTTCGGAAATTGTCCGCGTGCTTGTGAACGTGCGCATGGGTATCGCCGTGGAAATGACCGTGTACGTTACGTTCCGCTGACGTCGGCTCGTGATGGTGCTGATAGGGATTCATGACTTGCTGAATATTCTTCAGCTTATCTTTGCTCGAACCGGCCTGTTTCTGCGATAACCCGGAATGATCCTCGACCAGCTGCTTCTCCGCCAGATCTTTCGCGGACGTCTCGAGTAACGCTGTGCTAGACTCTAACAAAGGACTAGGGCTGGAAGTTAGGCTGTGTTGGTTCTCCTGCAAGTTACCGGATTCCTGAACTCTTCGCGCAGCCTCGAAAGCCAAGTTTCGCGAAAGATCCAAGTTTCTCGGGCTGCACGAAAGATTGTGGCCGTGTCTGGCTAGAATCGCGCTTTGACCCTCGATCGATCTCGCACCAGGCGATAATCCACCCTGATGCTCCAATATATCCACGTTCCTGCTATTCTCCAAATTGATCTGCTGGTTCTCTTGATGAGACAGCGGACTTTCCAGCCTTCTTATCGGCTCGAAAGCGTTCTGAAGCGCTTCCAGACCCCTAGGGAGTTCTTGGCTGTTGGAAATTCTTGTACTTCCCACGCTTCTCTCCGGCCTGTCCCTCTGCGTCCTCATCGAGTCCATGCTACTCATCGCGGAGCACTGGCAAGGGTGTTGCTGCGGAGTTTCCGCAACGTCCAGATCGGTGGTCAATTGCGTCTGTTGGGACATTTTAATACCTGCGAAATAGAAAAGATGCCAACACGATTAATTATCGTTGAATCATCCTGACCGATTAAACCGTCTGTCGAAGGGGATCTTAGGAACGGACCGTGTCCATTTTCGCGATCGCGATCGATCAGTTGGCGGTTCGCGGGTCAGTCGTAGAGCATTTCTCACGTCTCGTCGAGAGGCGATTCGTTTCCATGCCGTTGCCGCCGCCTCGTTGAACTTGATAAATCGTTTTAGATTACAAAACAGCGGGAGTCAGCGTGAGCGGTTCTGCACGTACACGCGTCGAAATAAAAGGGGTACTCTGATTTTCGCAAATATCCGGCTGGTTGGAAATATCTGTCGATGATCTATGGGGAACGATGGACTAACGAATCTTCCAATTACGACACAACCTTAGGGATCGTGCTAACTGCGGATATCGCATCCGTTCCGGACGCGGAAAACTTTCGCAGCCTATTAGCTCCTTCCGTCGTTAAAACTTCCCGAATAGCCTTCGACCAACTTATATAAATACCTCCGTGAATATTAGACGATTCTTCTCTCTCGAGTTGTGAAGAGTGGCTTTCACGGTCCAAGCATTGTACTTGGTCGGAAAAGAATTCCTATCCCTACAACTCCGTATTATCTTGTTAAGAAATTCTTACGAATACCCGATAATAAGTTGCCGGCCGGAGACTATCGTTCTATCACGTTCGCGGCAAGTCAATTAACGACGCATCGTGTAGGTACAAGTTGTACCAAAGGAAAAGAAAAGTTGCGTGTGTCGCGTGGCATACAGGTTTCATCGATCAACTAGCTGCATCAGCGTCGCGATCACTACCGATAGATGCATTTAACGTGGTACCGTAACTTCGCTATACATCTTAACCACGTTTTTCATTCTCTCCGAACGAAGAAAGTAGAGAAGATTCCACACCATCTATCGAGCAACGAAAATTCTTCGCACGATTGTCAATTTCTTTCGATAAATCGAGAAAAGTGGCTCCGGTTGATTGATAATCTACGAGAAACTATCGCAGGTTCGTTGTTCCTGTTGGCCATTACCGCGGCGAAGGGTAACGGGCCGATTTACGGCTACTTTAAACGGAAATCTACTTAATCTAATGGCCCCTTTGCATTTCACCTGCAAAATCGATCACATCGGCCGGCTACCTTTAAGCACATTTGGTATCGGGCATCTAGTTACCGGGGACCAGTCCGTGGTAGTCCTCGTAAGTACACACAGCCGGTGGATACTCTCGGCCACTCACATTCCTCGTATCTCGTTATACGAGAGCGCAAAGGCTCTCTCGAAGGCCATGGTCAAGTTCGACGGCGTTGCTCGGACTGGCGGTTCAGTTTTTCTTCTCGTTCGACGATCTCTCGATCGAACGAAGAATGGGAATACTTGGCGGCACGTGGATTTAATTTCGTTCACCGCAGAAAACCCTTTCCTTCTCCTCTAGATGCTCGCCTCCTCTCCAGACGGTTCTCGTCGAATGCCTCGCGAACCGCGATGAAAAAGAAAAAGAAAACAATTTCTCGCGCTCTGCGCGTTTAGACGGGATCGTAAAACTGACGTAACGTTGCACCGAGGTGGATTCGTCGAAATACGACGTCGAAGGAAGGAGAGTATTCGGATAAGCTATCTGACCAGCTCGTTTTGCTACGAATACCGGTTTCACCGTGGCGAATAAATGGAACGCCTGTGTCAACAGCTTCAACCTCGCGACGAAATTCTGCGATACATAACCTATCCACCCAGATACGTATTAAAGGTTCCATGGCTCGTTATTCGACGGCAGCCGTGCTCGTACTACGGGACTATATGTACAGCGCAGCGTGAGAAAAATCACTCGGTAACCGAACACTCCCAGCTTCCAATAGATTCCTCGCGATAACCCATACTCTTGGATCGATTGGTTCTCCCTGGACGCGAAAGTACATCACGAAAACGGCATCCATCGCGTGTATCCGTATTAAGAAGATAGTTGGTGGCTCACCTGCGCGATCGAATATTCAAGTGCTCCCGTCTGCCGGATCCTCTCAATCACTGTCTCCCGGTGACGCTCCTTCCGCATGCCCGACGATCGGAGCACGGATCTGAACACGAGGCGAGAGTCTATTTTCGTGACGGACACTCTGTTCCTTGGTCTTCCCACTGGAATACCACAGCACCACGCCAGGCGTGTGCATTTTCGAAACGTCGTAGCGCGCGTATCTGGCGCCAAAAAAGACTATTGTACCCGCACAATCACTCTCAAATTATGCACCACTCTGTGTGTAGAAGAACACCGATCTCTCCCCCCCCCTCTCTCTCTCTCTATCTCTCTCTCCGGTTCTCTTCTCTATCGCGTGCACGTCTCACTTCTCCTCTGTTCTCGCGTTGAATTCTCGTTAATCCGATTCCGCGAGTCTACTGGCATCGCGTCGCGTTCTCGTATCGCACAGAGGACGAGCCAGAAGAAACGGCACACGACGGTCCCACGGGTGAAAAGGAGCGAACGGTGCTCCTCTGGAAGAAAGGAAGCGACGAGGATAGGAGCGGAGCGGAATATCGTGAGAGACTGTTGGTGCCTTCCACCTTCACTGGCAGCCGTTCTGCCTTGGAATGTGCCTTTGCCCCCTCGAACCCCCTCTCCGCGCCTCCACCGGGCCCGTAGACCGAGTGAGGGGCCCTCGGGGCCCCGACTCTTACGCCGCCTGCCCCCGCTCACTCCCGCCACACGAGCCTCCACCGTCGATTTCGTTCGGGGACCGCAAGTGTCAGGCCCACCCACTCTCCGGTTGGGCCCCGATCAGACTCGCTGGATAGGGTAGATCGTCCTGAAACGACGTTTCGTATTAAATTCGACAACTTCTT